TTCGCGCACTCGACGCGCGCGATCTCCGCAGAAGGTTGCGCGGGCACAGGCCCAATCGCACTATCGCCTGCATTTCGCGCACTCGACACGCACGATCTCCGCAGAGGGTTGCGCGCGCACAAACCCAATCGCACTCTTGCGTGCATTTCGCGCACTCGACACGCACGATCTCCGCAGAGGGTTGCGCGGGCACAGACCCAATCGCACTCTCGCCTGCATTTCGCGCACTCGACGCGCACGATCTCCGCAGAGGGTTGCGCGCGCACAAACCCAATCGCACTCTCGCCTGCATTTCGCGCACTCGACACGCACGATCTCCGCAGAGGGTTGCATTTTCGGTTGACGCTGTTCGTCCCACCCTCCGCCTTTGAGAGAGAATTTATAAAGTGGGGAAATGTTTGTCACTAGGACATCTCCCGTGCAAGTTTTTCCATACATGCATACTCATTACACTTGCATCCTTTCACTTGGATACTTGCCGTTGGATGCTACTTGCATCCTTTCACTTGGATACTTGCCGTTGGATGCTTTCACTCTTCCACTTACACTGGGGTACGTATAGAAGTGTAAGTGTTCATGTTCATGTTCAAGTGTAAGTGTGAAAGCGTCAGCGTTCAAGTGTACGTATCGAAATGTCAGTGTTCAAGTGCAAGTGTGGAAGTGTCAGTGTGTGAGTGTGAGTGTCGAAGTGTCAGTGTTCAAGAGATTTTCCGGAAGAACCCTTCGCAATGCTTTCGGGAAAAATATTTATCGAATCAAAAAAAAATATTTACCGAAGCAAAAAAACATTTACCGAATCAACAAAAATATTCGTTGTGCGATGAAATCCCTTGGAATTCCCAGTCGTGTGGGTGGCCGGTCCTCTGGTCCGCTGGTCCGCTGGTCCTCTGGTCCTCTGGTCCTCTGGTCTGCTGGTCCCCTGGTCCCGTGGCCTGGTCCCCTGCAGTCCGCTGGTCCACTGATTTGATATGTGTTTTATTTGTTGTTTTTCGTTGTCACATCCATTGCTTGCGTGAGTCCAGCTGCGTGGGGCTCAAACGAACCGGTTTCTCCACGACACCCGCGCAAGCACGAGCTGCTCACCTTTGGATCTGGTGTGCTGCTGGGGGGGG